AAAGGTCAAAAACATTCTAATGTACAAAAAACATAATACAAAATAACAGACACCTGAGATTCCCACCATTAGATAAACACGATGCTAACATTTTCCCATATTTCTTCAATTCTTTTATTTTAAGAAAATACAAGTCCACAGAGTAAGTAAACTCTTTTCCTCCACCTTCTTTCTGGTTTACATATAAGCGATCTCGTTTTGAATTCCAGCCTACCACTACTCTTGGAGGCTGTGGCAAATTATTTAAGCCTCTGAGTGGCAGGTGGTCATGTGGACAGAAATGTCATTCTAGTTGCCTATTGCAGCCACAACAAATACCATAATAGTGGCTTAAAAACCAATAGTATATTTATTTTGCTCATGGAACTAAATATTTGAGCAGAGCCAGCAGAAAAGGGTTGTATTTTGCTCCATGCAGGGGTTGAGTGGAGCATCTTACGAGGCGGGAGGGGCAGCTTTCCTGATGGTCATCACAAGGCTGGAGAGTTGGTGCTGGTTTTGGCTGCTTTGCTTAGCTGGGGGCTGAGTCTAGGACCTTGTTGCTTCCAACAGGCTCTCCATGTGGCCTGGGCTTCTTGCATAAATGATAAGTGGTCCCAAAGGGCAGTGACCCAAGAAAGGCCAGGCAGAAGCTGTGTCACTTTTAGTAACTCACCAGAAAGTCACTCAGAGCCATCTTCCACCAAAACTCTGTTAGTAGGATAGTTGCCAAGCCGACTGAAGTTTAAGAGAGGGGACAAAATTCTTACTTCTTGATGGGAAATTAGAAAAGAAATATTGTGTGGACCATTTAGAAAATTAATTCTTCTACAATAGCTAATAGTGACTTCCAATGGTAACCATGAAGATTACTGAGAAATGTGCGTGTAGAATGTAGTAGTTATTAGTGCTAGCTTGCCTTTGGCAGGAGCTCAAATATATGTCATTTTCTTCTCTTTCTTCCACTAGAATTAAAAATTCTGATCTTGACTTTTCATGTATTCCTTAAAGAGATGTCAAAGGCCCCGGTGGAAGGACTAGGCACTCAGCAAGTGTTTGCTGTACAAATGAAGGAGGGGGGAATGAAAATTGTAAGGTTCAAACGCATATAGCCATGGCTCTTTCAGTTTTTAGTGTCACAGACCTTTTATAATCTTATAAACTTATGGAAACCCTTTGTTAGAAAAGTGCACATGTCTATATCCATTAAATGTTATCATATTATTTCATGGATTCGCAGCCATTGCATTTATGGATCCCAGGTGAAGAACCCCCTTCCCAGATTTAGATTTGCCTTTAAACTTTGGATACACTTAAAGCTGAAACATGCATCGTGTAGTGGCACTAACTTCATTATGGTGCCTAGTAGCCATTATGGCACTACCAAGTATGTTTGAAAGCCGGATGCTTTAGCTGCACGCGGGGAACAGCTGATAGCGTAAGAGTTGCTCTTAGCAGGATGGCAAGCAATCTGGCTGAGGTAGAAGTGGGATCTTCACAGAGGAGAAGAAATGTCAACTGAACCTTCACGGTGAGTAGATTTGGTAGCTAAGAGTTTTTCACATGAGAGAATCAATGAGAGCAAAAGTATTCAACAGATACTTACTAAGTGCCAACTATGCCGCAGGTACTATGTTGAAGGTGATCCCACGCAAAGATGCAGAGGCCAGAGCCTCCCATGCCAGAGGCTTGGCTTGGTAGGAAATAAGGGAAAATGCAGAGTCTTGTCGAAGTGTGGAGACAAGATGACTGCAGATGGGAATGTGTATCAGTCAGGGTTCTCCAGAGAAACAGAACCAGGAGAGAGAAAGAAAGAGAGAGATTTGAAAAAATGGCTCACATGTCTATAGGCTGCACGTCCAGAATCTGCAGGGCCCCTGGCAGACTGGAGACCAAGGAAGAGGGACATTGCAGCTCTGTCCAAAGGCAGTCTGGAGCAGGATTCCACTTTCTCAGGACTCAGTCTTTTTCTTACGGCCTTCAACTGCTTGGGTGAGCTCACCCACGTTATGAAGGTAACCGCTTTATTTAAAGTCTACTGATTTCAATGTAATCACCTCTAAAAAAATACCTTCACAGTGACATTTAAACTAGGTTTGAGTGACATTTAAACTGTGTTGACAAACGCCTGGGTACCATGGCCTGGCAAGTTGACACGTGAAACTAACCATCACAGGATGGATGTATGTAAGGGACATAGGTGGATGGTTGATGGTATGAAAGCCAGAGCAGGATGATTTTTGAGCATTCAACCAACAGGATGCTGTAGGAAGAATAGGCTAGGGGTGTATCTAGGAGTTTGGAGACACACTACGACCCTGTTATCTTTACCCCAAGGCATCCAATGGCGACTACCCATATCACCTTGCAATTGCTGTTGTGTGGCATTCCTCCTCCATGGAACCAATCCATGATTACCATGGCTATTTGGAAAGCAGGAAGGCCCAAGTTTCTAGTTTTCTCATTGCTGCGATCAGACAGCACAAGATGCATCGGAAGCTATGTCACATTTCAAAAGGCCTGTATGAATAGAAAGGTTATTTAGTTTTCAACTTTGAAGTTCTTTAAAACAATTCATATTTTCTGTTTTAGGTCGAAATAAGTAATGACATCGACTCCGAAATTCGGCTGCTGAACTTGACTTAGGGAGCAAAGCACCACTGACAGCGCCTCCGTGGATCCGACATGCCTCTTGTTCCTTCCAGAGTCCGCTGTGCTCCCTGCTTCCCACGGACCATGGAGTTCTTTGGTACAAGCCTGTGTAATTATTAGCAATTGTTCACTAGATGAGTTCTAGGTGCTTGGGTGGATTTTTTTTTAGTCATTTCTTCTTATATAAACATTGTAAAAAAAAATGGTTTTTTTTCTAACAATATTTAATGTGAATGCAAAATGAAAAAAAAAATTCTGTGAAAACCTTCTAGGTCAATTCTATGAAATATCAGTATGTGTGTTGAGATGTTAAGTCAGTACTGCTGACTGCTGAAGGTGGTCTAGGCCTGATGCATTTGCCTTGGCAGACATCATCTGTGGCTGTCGGACACAAAGGCAGACTCTGTGACAACTGATAAATGAGTACAAATAATGGATCCAACTTTCAGACTGAGTATGGATCTTTTTCAACACCGCAAGATAAAACATAGATCCTTCTTTGCTTTTGACTTCTCAAAACCCAGAGCAATGTTATGGCAATCTAAATTTTAGATTTGTGCATGATATCTCATTCTTCCTGTATTCTGAAATATATATATGTGTGTGGTGTGTATATATATACACCATATATATATAATGGTACATGGAAGAGTCAAACGATTAGTAGACCCTTTTCCCCTTAGGAGGGAATGTGGGTGTCTCCCGAGGTCCATATTTTCACTCTTCATTCCCACTCCTGACACTGGTGTCAGATCTATACATACAGTTCCATGAGCTCATAGGATAGAAATCACAACCACAGGTCTGCAATCAGGAATTTGTTCTTAGGATATCCAAAAGGAGTGTGAAATTGATGGGATTCTCTATAAATACTTCTAAAGAAGATATTTATGGTTGAACAACACCAACTTTTTTTTCTCCTACCCCATCTCCAATCCCAAGAAAATACAATTTTCTGTGGAAAAAGGACTGTCTTGAAAACACATCACGGTTGTTTTTTTTTCAATTGGAATAAAATTTACATACGGTGAAATGCACGAATCTTAAAGGCACAATATGATTAGTTTTGAAAAATGTACACACCATGTAAGCAAGGCCTCAATCAAAATGACAATTTCCATTACTTTAGAAAATTCCCTCATGCCCCTTTCAATCAGTTCCCACATTCTCACAGACAACCACTGTGCTAAGTTTTATCAGCACGATTAATTTTGTCTGTTCTCAATATAAAGCATGTACTCTTTTTACATCATCTTTTCCATATTTTCAATCGCTGTTTTCTACATGAAAATAAGTTTTGCTTACTTTGGTTAGCAGCCAAAGTGCACCATTTAGGACAGAGGATGTTAATTTGGTCCATGAATCTCTAAGAAGTCAGTCTAGACACCACCTAAATTGTTATAAATTTTTGTATGTTGTAAATGTTCTTCCCCAGCCCCTACTTCTTCTTTTGAAGCCCATAGATTTCATGTTTAAAAATCAGAACTTGCTGCAACAAAATTTGCCCTGGTTCCTCCAAGTTCATGATAAGCCCAGTGGGCTTTCTGGAGGCCTTTTACGTGCTAGCCTTTGGGTCCACTCATACTCACTAACCTCCATCCCTTTTCATCCTACTGAATAAACCCATTTCAAATGAAGAAAAAATAGCAGGGCCCTTGGAAATGGTGGAATCCAGGCCACTGCTCTGCAGCTGAGGACCTGAAGCTGGAGGATTTAGTGACCTTGTCCAGGGCCTGCATCTGTACAGAGGGCAAGAGCCACGGCCAGAGGACAGGAACAGGAGGGCAAAAGTTGGGTTTGGCCCCAACCCACCACCGTGGCCTTGTGTTTCACATCTCAGCACTGAACTTTCCTCATCTATGAAGTGCAACTATGATCCCTAACTCCCAAGGATGAGGTGAATGATTGAAAAATTAAATTCACAGGAAGATAAAACAAGAACAAAAGTTACCATTGTATTATTTTGTGAAATGTGAAGTATGCTATTACTTGTGTGTGTGTGTGTGTGTGAGGATAATGAAATAATTTTAAACATCTGAATATTAACTTTATCCTTCTGTCTTACTGATTTTCTACATTTTTAATATTATTTAGCTTTTTTAACAACAACAATAATAGCGATATGTATTAGTTTTGGAATTTGAATATAAAAGGTATTTTTTAATTAAAAATGCATTTTTTAGTCTGCATTATTTCCAGTTGCTTAAACATGGCCAATTTTCTTCAACCACTTTTTAAGAAACAGGAGTCTGTTGTTTCTGTGGGCTTTTCATAGCTCTTGAGTGGGTGGCAAGAGCTCCAGACAGGGTCCCACTTACTGTTCCGACATTATTAATAATAACTGCCTCTCTTAATTATGGAGTGCTTCACAGTTTCCAGAGTTTGTTTTTTTTTTTTTTAATTTTTCATCTAATCCTCACCTCATCCTTGGGAGTTAGGGATCATAGTTGCACTTCATAGATGAGGAAAGCTTCAGTGCTGAGATGTGAAACACAAGGCCACGGTGGTGGGTTGGGGCCCAAACCCCAACTTTTGCCCTCCCTGTTCTCTGTCCTCTGGCCGTGGCTCTTGCCCCTCTGTACAGATGCAGGGCCCTGGACAAGGTCACTAAATCCTCCAGGCTTCAGGTCCCTCAGCTGCAGAGCAGTGGCCTGGATTCCACCATTTCCAAGGGCCCTGCTATTTTTTCTTCATTTGAAATTGGGTTTATTCAGTAGGATGAAAAGGGATGGAGGTTAGTGAGTATGAGCGGACCCACAGGCTAGCACGTAAAATAGGCCTCCAGAAAGCCCACTGGGCTTATCATGAACTTGGAGGAACCAGGGCAAATTTTGTTGCAGCAAGTTCTGATTTTTAAACATGAAATCTATGGGCTTCAAAAGAAGAAGTAGGGGCTGGGGGAAGGACATTTACACACATACAAAAATTTATAACAATTTTAGGTGGTGTCTAGACTGACTTCTTAGAGATTCATAGACCAAATTAACATCCTCTGTCCTAAATGGTGCACTTTGGCTGCTAAACAAAGTAAGCAAAACTTATTTTCATGTAGAAAACAGCGATTGACAATTATGGAAAAGATGATGTAAAAAGAGTACATGCTTTATATTGAGAACAGACAAAATTAATCGTGCTGATAAAGCTTAGCACAGTGGTTGTCTGTGAGAATGTGGGAACTGATTGAAAGGGGGCATGAGGGAATTTTCTAAAGTAATGGAAATGTGCATTTTGATTGAGGCCTTGCTTACATGGGTGTGTACATTTTTCAAAACTAATCATATTGTGCCTTTAAGATTCGTGCATTTCACCGTATGTAAATTTTATTCCAATTGAAAAAAAAAAAAAACAACTGTGATGTGTTTTCAAGACAGTCCTTTTTTCCACAGAAAATTGTATTTTCTTGGTTATTGAGATGGGGTAGGAGAAAAAAAAGTTGGTGTTGTTCAAACATGAATATCTTCTTTAGAAGTATTTATAGAGAATCCCATCATATTTTCACACTCCTTTTGGATATCCTAAGAGCAAATTCCTGATTGTAGACCTGTGGTTGTGATTTCTATCCTATGAGCTCATGGGAACTGTATGTATAGATCTGACACCAGTGTCAGGAGTGGGATGAAGAGTAGAAAATATGGACCTCGGAGACACCCACATTCCCTCCTAAGGGGAAAAGGGTTCTACTAATCGTTTGACTCTTCCATGTACCCATTATATATATATGTGTGTGTATATATATACACACACACATATATATATTTCAGAATACAAGAAGAATGAGATATCATGCACAAATCTAAAAATTTAGATTGCCATAACATTGTCCTGGGTTTTGAGAAGTCAAAAGCAAAGAAGGACTCTATGTTTTATCTTGCGGTGTTGAAAAATGATCCATACTCAGTCTGAAAGTTGGATCCATTATTTGTACTCATTTATCAGTTGTCACAGAGTCTGCCTTTGTGTCCGACAGCCACAGATGATGTCTGCCAAGGCAAATGCATCAGGCCTAGACCACCTTCAGCAGTCAGCAGTACTGACTTAACATCTCAACCACACATACTGATATTTCATAGAATTGACCCTAGAAGGTTTTCACAGAATTTTTTTCTTCATTTTTGCATGCCTCACATTAAATATTGTTAGAAAACTAAAAACCATTCTTTTTTACAAGTGTTTATATAAGAAGAAAATGACTAAAAAAAAAATCCACCCAAGCACCTAGAACTCATCTAGTGAACAATGCTAATAATTACACAGGCTGTGACCAAAGAACTCCATGGTCCGTGGGAAAGCAGGGAGGCACAGCCGGACCTCTGGAAGGAACAAGAGGCATGTCGGATCCACGGAGGCGCTGTCAGTGGTGCTTTGCTCCCTAAGTCAAGTTCAGCAGCCGAATTTCGGAGTCGATGTCATTACTTATTTCGACCTAAAACAGAAAATATGAATTGTTTTAAAGAACTTCAAAGTTGAAAACTAAATAACCTTTCTATTCATACAGGCCTTTTGAAATATGACATAGCTTCCGATGCATCTTGTGCTGTCTGATCGCAGCAATGAGAAAGCTAGAAACTTGGGCCTTCCTGCTTTCCAGATAGGGCATAGTAATCGTGGATTGGTTCCATGGAGGAGGAATGCCAACCACACAGCAATCGCAAGGTGATATGGGGTAGTTGCCATTGGATGCCTTGGGGTAAAGATAACAGGGTCGTAGTGTGTCTCCAAACTCCTAGATACACCCCTAGCCTATTCTTCCTACAGCATCCTGTTGGTTGAATGCTCAAAAATCATCCTGCTCTGGCTTTCATACCACTCAACCATCCACCTATGTCCCTTACATACATCCATCCTGTGATGGTTAATTTCACGTGTCAACTTGGCCAGGCCATGGTACCCAGGCATTTGGTCAAACACTAGTTTAAATGTCACTGTGAAGGTATTTTTCTAGAGGTGATTAACATTGAAATCAGTAGACTTTAAATAAAGCGGTTACCCTTCATAACGTGGGTGAGCTCACCCAAGCAGTTGAAGGCCGTAAGAAAAAAAGACTGAGGTCCCTGAGAAAGTGGGAATCCTGCCTCCAGACTGCCTTTGGACCAGAGCTGCAATGTCCCCTCTTCCTTGGGTCTCCAGTCTGCCAGGCGGCCCTGCAGATTCTGGACGTGCCAGCCCCTATAGACATGTGAGCCAGTTTTTTCAAATCTCTCTCTTTCTTTCTCTCTCCTGGTTCTGTTTCTCTGGAGAACCCTGACTGATACACATTCCCATCTGCAGTCACTCTTGTCTCCACACTTCGGACAAAGACTCTGCATTTTCCTTATTTCCTACCAAGCCCTAAGTCTCTGGCATGGGAGGGCTCTGGCCTCTGCATCTTTGCGTGGTATCAACCTCAACATAGTACCTGCGGCATAGTTGGCACTTAGTAAGTATCTGTTGAATACTTTTGCTCTCATTGATTCTCTCATGTGAAAAACTCTTAGCTAACCCAAATCCTACTCACCGGTGAAGGTTCAGTTGACATTTCTTCTCCTCTGTGAAGACTTCCACTTCTACCTCAGCCAGATTGCTTGCTCATCCTGCTAAGAGCAACTCTTACGCTATCAGCTGTTCCCCGCGTGCAGCTAATAGCATCCGGCTTCAACATTAATTGTGCTCTAATTGGCTCACTCAGGCATGTAAGCTTTCTCCTTCTGACTAAATTACAAGCCTCGTTCCAATAGAGACTGTGTTTCCCATTCGTTTCCTAACTCCATCTAGCAACTTCTCCTCCACTAACTCAGTTTGATGACTCTATGGCTTGGAGTGGAATTTTTAGTCATAATTTGAAATAGTTGAAAACATTTCGAACTTTCCAGCTTCGCTTTTTGTCTGCCACTCTTCTCCCTGCAGATCACGCTCCCTCCCCCACCTCCTTGGGACTGGGGTCCTCCTGTGCCCTTCCTGTTTTCCTGGCACATGTCCTCCCTGGTCTATTTCTCTACATTCTGAATGACAGTCTAAATGTCAACTTCTTCGACTCCCTGGCATTTTAACAGGGATTTAAACGGAAAGGTAAAAGGATGAGATTTTAATGTTGGAATTCTACAGTTTTACACAGCCTTTAAGTTAGAAGGGAGATTCAAGGTTCTAAAGTCCATCCATCCAAAAAGTTAATGCCAGTGACAAAAGGAAAGAGTTCCGAAGCTAGAGAAAGCAATGAGCCGTAAGTGCCACCAAGTCTGTGCTAAGTAAGGCAAGCACACAGGGAAGCCCATTTCTCCTTTGGGACAACTAAGAAGGTGCTGAGTGCATTACTGTTGTCATGCTCTTGAGACAGCCCCAGAGAATCAAGGCCTCCATAAGTGCCTACGTTCCAGGGACCGATGCGACCCCCAGGGAATAGAACTCCACGGTTGGTAATGGGAACAGTGAGGCAGCAGCCATTGCTAACAGCAGATCACAGTCACCCCACCCTGCGTGCCACAGGGGACAGACAGCTCGCAGAATTTTACATGGCTCGGCTCCCCCTCCATCTAGATAGATATTTAAAGTGTGAAAGCCAATCAAGGACAAGCGAAAACAGGATGGGGACAGAGAGTTATCATTTTATTTGTCTTTTGGTGTCTCCAGCCACAATTACTAACACATGGCTGGTGATTGTTGGTTTTTAAATCAGGGTTTGAAAGCACATCATACACCTCCCCAACCCCTCCATGGGTGCACACACACAAGCACACACACACACACACACACACACACACACACACATTGACACACACACACAACCCTGATTTGCCCTACTTGCTGGTGCTTCATCTAGATCCTGTGTGTGCAAAATGGCCTGCCGCCAACATACTATAAAGATACTGATACAAAACAGCTGTTCCCAGGAATGAGCGGATAGAGGTGACCACTTCTGCATCGGTCCTACAGCCTGACCATCCGAGGTGAGTTTCCTGTGCGTCTGGACCTTAGAGACAGACGGCAGGCAGGGAAGGCACCGGTGGAGCTGGCTGCAGTGCCAGCCCGAACCAGGGATTAGCCTGGCCTGCCTTCCAGTGCTCAGCAGCCACTCAATCAGCAGCGGCCACAGAGCATGTAGCGATTTCTGTGAAGAAAAATCAGCCTCCAGCAAAGGCAATCAGACAAGTCAAGCTACCAAAGAAAAGTCAAGTTCTTATTTGGAAGCCTTAGAAAAAGATTTGCTAAAAGTGGTGGGGGAAGCTCAGGGTCAGCTTTTCTCATCAAGTCTTAACCACCGTCACGGGGTGTCTTCCTCATGGAACTTTCCGGCACCATCAGACCTAGCCCTACCTTTGCTGTAGAACCCGGTCGTGGAATTCCAGCTGCTGTCTTTCTTTGATAAATGGCCTTGGTCTGATTATTCTTGTGTGAAGAATTACTGCTACATGGAGCTTAATCATCCCATGACCCAGTTGCTAACCATTTTGATGGAAATACACCAGTCGTGATTTTGACAAACTTTAATTTCATTGCTCGCTATGATGTTCTCTGAGATCCCATATCTCTTTCATGGCTGTATGTGTTTATGCTATGATAATTTTCCTCCTGAGGGGTGCATCTGCTTTTGTTAGCCTCTCTGCTCGGCACTACTGCTGCCTCCACTATAAGCCAAAGTGTGGATGTCCTCGTGAAAGCCACTGCTGGCCGCTGGGATCTGTGATCTTGTGAAAGAGCAGGCCTTGCTCTTTCCTCTCAGGACAGGCACTCCCACGGAGTGGCAGCAGTGATAGCGGAGATCCTGGTTGCATTTATGGCAAGAGTTACTCCCCCTGGCTAGCAGCTGTGGCACGATGATGGCCCCCAGCACAGGCTACCCCAACCTGTGTGTCACATGTCCCCAAGCCGGGCCCAGACAGCAGCCACTGAAAGCACCTCTGTAGCTTTAGGTGCAAAGAGTCATGTCGTTCGGATGGCCAAGCAATGGTGCTGAAAGTCTCTTAGCATCCTCACCAGGAGCTAGTAAGACTCCTGCTCTGTTTGGGATCTGCTTCCCTATACGTTTGCTTATTTCATGTGAGAACTATGGCAAACACCAGATTGGAGAGTCATGAGCTGCACCTTTGTCCTCCGTAGAATAGCCAAGAAGATCAGCCTTCATGCTGGGGACACCTGTTTTCTTCTGCTTTATTTCTTTAAGACAATTTTTAGAGCAGTTTTAGGTTTGCAGCAAAATTGAGAGGAAGGACAGAGAGTTCCCATATACTCCCTGCCCCTGCACCTGCACAGCCTCCCTATTATCAACACCCCCCCACCAGAGCAGGACATTTTTACAATTGATGAACCTACAGTGACACGTAATTATCCACTCAAAGTTTACATTAGGGTTCACTCTTGGTGTTGTGCATGGTATGGGTTTGAACAAATGTACAAAGACATGTACCCACCATTATAGTATCATATAGTATCATAGAGTAGTTTCTAAACATCCTCTGTGCTCCATAGTTTTGTCTTTTCCAAAATGTCTTACAATTGGAATCATACAGTGTACAGCCTTTTAAGTTTGGTTTCTTCCACTTAGTAGTGTGCATTTAAAGCTCCTCCATGTCTTTTCATGTTGTGATAGCTCATTTCTTTCTAGCACTGAGTAATATTCCATTGTCTGGATGACCACGGTTTGTCCGTTCACCTACTGAAGGACACCTTGGTTCTTCACCAAGCTTCAGCAATTGTGATTATCTGCTATAAATATCCATGTGCAGGCTTTTGTGTGGACCAAATTTTCAACTCCTTTGGGTAAATAGCAAGAAGCTGTATTGCTGGCTCATATGGTAAGAGTATGTTAATTTTGTAAGAAACTGCCAGACTCTCTTGAAAATGGCCCTACTTCTGCTTGGATAAACTCCATATCATCTTACAAAGTTAGCTCAAGCATCATTTCCCAGTAAAGCCCTTCCTCACCAAGTGAGAAGTAACCACTCCTCTTTCTGCATAAAATTGCCTTGGGGATATTGTTTTGCATCTATTTCTATGTAGGTCTCCCCTCCTAGATCCTTAGTTGCTGAAGGCCAGAGCTCAAGTATTATTTGTCGTTATATCTGCAGTACTTAGGACAGTGGCTAGGAAGTAATCAGTCAATGATTGTAAATTGAACTGAACTGATTTATGTAATGAGTGATCCTTGATAACTTGATATCATTGCATTAAAAATAAAGAAAAAAAGCACGAGAGACCAAATCCATATGTGAACCACCTCATCCCTATCACAACCCCACCACCAGCATAAACACACAATTAGACTCTGGTCAGTGAAAAGATACAATTTGTGACTATGAGCAATGACATACTCCAACAGGAGAATTAAGGCTTCCTGTACACTTCTGCAGTATTATCTGTCAATGGCTGTTGGCTTGTAGCTGCCCATATAGAGTTGAAAGCTACCTGTTCACAGGTATATGCCTGGGGATATGCTAAAGATTCTTCTGATTCTCTTAAGAAAGTGGCTTCCTCCTAAAACCTGGCTTTGCGCTCCATGGAGATTAAATAGTGTTAATGAAAGTTAAAAACCAGTGTTCCCTCTCCTCTCTAATAATTTAGTACAGAAGGTTGGATTTTTCTGCAAGCTGTTGCTGCTTGGTGATATGGCATCACTGAGCTGGGTACAATGCAATCAATACAAAAGCCTTATTAAAAGCAATCAAGCAGGCTGACAGATGCCGCCTGGATAAACGCTGCCATATTTGCACGCTGGTGGGGAGTACAGATACTGACCTCTTAAACTGTTTCATGCACAAAGATTTCAATTCAGGCTTAGTTTGATCTTTCAGATTCCTGCTTCCTCCTTGGTTGAAAGGCATTCCATATTCATCTGACATAATGTGCATAATGTGTCAAAGCAGAAACTTATTCTCTTGCTTTATGTAAAACAGTAGCCTGTAGTTTATGCTACATTCAGCTAAAATGGTACGAGGTCAGCAGTGAACAGGGATGTTGAGAAAGCCCTTTGAGGAGAGAGCGGAGTTGATCAAAGCCTTTTAGGTGATCTTAAAAGGATGTTTTATGTGTTCTCGATTCACAGAGATGGAAGTGACTTTAGAGAATATAAGTGGAAGTCATTTGCCTCTGGGCTGTGCCACAGAACACCCTTTTGAGGTACACAGTACGTGGACGTCCATTTTTAAAACTCATTCAAGAAAGGAGATTCCATTATCAACATTTATCAATTGCAGTTTTTAATAACCTTCCCTAATAGAAAGATCTCTCTTATATTGCAACATTTTTCATATTGCAATTTCTCTGGTGAGTTATTTTTTTCACAGTGGAGATGAAAGAAACCATTCGTCATCCTCTTATCACAAAACAAACATAAAAAGACTCTCCAAGTCACCACTAGGCATTGTTTTAGTTCTTTTCTCACTTCCAATGCACTGATCATCTTTATTATTGTGACAATCACTGCCAAGCTCCCCAAATCCACAAATATCAACTTTTGGAGCACATCACTTACGAGCACTCAGTAGCATGAGGAATGAGGTGGTGACTACTTGGCTGGAGTGTTATATAGGGTGAATGTTTTTCCAAACTGGATTTGCTTTAAGAAGCCAGAATTTATTTAAACGTCTATCATGTGACAGGCACAGCGCTGATTTGAGTAGCTTGTGAGCTATGTGTACTTTAGATCATTCTCCCAGAATACAATTAATTTAACATGGGGAGGTAGAGGAGCCCGTGCAGGCTTCTTAGAGTTTCAGTCCCCAGAGAGGCCGGGTGTAGGGGTTGCAGCTCTGGGAAGGAACCACTGTGGAAAAGAGGCAGCAGATGGAGCCTTTCATATGTTTGTTATACCAGCGGCTGTTTTGCATAATTGCCTCTATCACCATGATGCAGAACATGGGCCGAAAGCACAGGAAGATCAGCTGAGCAAGTCCGTTATATCAGGCAGGGTGGTAGTTGTGAACTATCCCAGCTCCACGACTTTACTAATAATGGGACATTGAGAAAGTTGCCTCACCTCTATGAGCCTCAGTTTCCTTATTTATAAAGTGGGAATATTCATTAGTACATTCCAGTGTTTTCATGAGGATTAAGTGAGCTGATATATGCAAAGTGCTTGTTGTGTGCTATTTATTATTTTATACATTTGTCTATTTGCTACTTAGAATTTTCTAGGAACGAAGTCACCATATCTATTTCCATGTTTCCTAGTATTTCATCCATCAGGTGACCAAGATTCCTTCCTTACACTCAACTGAAATCCATGCAGTGTTAGGTGTTTTTGTTGTTGTTATTGTTGTTTGACTTCCTTTCATGTCCTCTGGGGATATAGAAAACTTGTTCCTGAACTTGTTAGTCAAAAGTTTGATTGCTAGGAACAATAATAGGCAGCTTTCTATACACTATACACACATTATGGACAGCCAGGGTTCCTTCTCCCCTTGCCATACTGCTGCGTTGCCCAAGACACATAGTTAGTCTTCATTTCTGCACACTAAATAGTCTCGCTTTTTTTTTTTTTTTATCAATTTGGCAATCAACTATTGATAACTTAAATATGATAAAATATTATTTTAGAACTATAAACCATGTCACCTGCTTCAAATCCTTTCTGGAATGAATAATAATAATGATAATGTTGGGTTACATGTGAAAGGTGTGTTTTAAATATGAGTGGAAAGTTAAACCAATGATTAGTAGTAGTAGGTTCAAATTATTTCAGGTTTGGTTAGTTTTGGCCAAGTTAGAAGGATTAATATTTTTTTGTGTCATCACACCTTTACTTACAGGTTTAACAGGCTTTAACTCAACATGATCCTGGTAGTAGGAGTGTGTATCAAGTCCACCTATGAAATCAACTGAAAATATAACCCAATATGAATAAGTGTGTAAATAAAAATACATAATACTAAATGTTTAAAGTAGAATACATTAAGAATAAGATTAAGACAAGTATCTGTTTATTTAGTGTAAATGACTCCTAGAAATACTGTCAGTGAATTTTAGGAAACATACAAAGATCCAGGACTCATAGGATCTGAAAAGTCAGTTGTTATTGGTTTCAGTAAAAAATAAAGTAATATTAAATAACATACGATTGAAAGTAATGTGTTTGTCCGTAGGCATACACACATGCCCTTTCTCCCTGTGTATGAAAAGATATACTTTTTCTTCTTTTTGCCAGAATCCATATTTTTCCGTAGGAATATTTATTGCATCATTAGAAAGGCCTTTAAGAAGCCACATAATCCTTTTCCATGCCTTCTGTCCTCAAGCTATCTGTGAGAAATGGACATCTGCCTTTTGCAAAGGTTTCATCTCCTCCCTGATAGCATGATACTCATCTTGCAGTCTGTGTAGACTCCTAGTCTTTGTAATGTTCTTTCTAATTTCTTTTTATTATGATCAAGGTCTCAATCTCTTTTCTACCAAGTCTAATATACCTGGATGGTCTTTGTTTCTCCTGTTCTATGGATCATTAAAAATATTAATTACTATAAGCCAAGCTTTGGTTGCATCATAACACTCTAACATTAGCAGATATACAGGCATATAGGAACACTGAACTCTCAGGTGTGTGTATGCATGCCTCTGTGTGTGTGTGTGTGTGTGTGTTTTCAGGTACACAGTATGCAAATACTGTATAGTATTCCCAGCTCAAGATAGCATTTCAGTGAACTGTGATTTAGAGAGAGATGAATTAGCCTAGAAGTTCTACTGAAGCATTGACTAGCTGTAGCCATTCTTGCCAATCCCCTGACTTGCTCTATTCTCTTACCTCCTTTGGAGGGTTTGAAATGAGGCTGGGATAGCAGGGTTTCAGCCAGTTCACTGTGCAGACATGAGGTTTGGAGGCCTGTAGTGTGCCCAGCACCCAGATGACAGGGGACCACCTCCAGGCAATCCTCCTGAGAGTATAGGAGCCTGAGGCCTATTTTTTTCTATCAATTAAGGTTAAGTCACCTGGACTTAACCTTTTTTTTTTTTAATTTTCTTTTTTCCTTTTATTTCATCACATTACGGGGGTACAAATATTATTAGGGTTACATATATTGCCCCTGCTCCCCCCCCCCCGTGCCACTTAACCTTAATGAGAGAAGCAGTGAGAAGGGTGCTGATCTGAGACACTGAAAATATTTCCCCCTAGAGAGTGAGCAGTGCTTAAAGAGGCCATTTAAACAGTCATATTGGACTAAGTATTTATCAGACTAGATTATTAATCAAATATCTTCTCCCCTATGCCTCCAAACAATGGGTAGGATTTGGGAAGGACAATCACATTGATTGAAAACTGAATGACCAGATAATTTACGGGGCATGTTTGGAAGTTAAAGAGGGTGTTAAACACACACAAAATTATAAATATATACATTTGTGAATAAAATGGTTCAATTGAAAATTATATTCAAAATTAAACTATTTAAAAAAATAAAGACAACAAATAACATATATATTAAAGCAAAATAAAAAGAATATTTCTTTTATAGTGATCATATGAACACTAAAAGGTAACATTAACAGAATCATTATTTTGGGTATAAATTAATGTAAATTAATGGTATAAATTAATGTCTTTTGTCTCTAATATATCATGTCACTTGTATTTTTTAAAGAATATACATATGTATGTATGTATAACAGTTTTACTATTTTTATTGTTTTTATTTATTTACAACATTCTCCAAGGTTTCTTTGTATGGTTGGTAAATCTGGAATTGCTGACATTTAATTTAGTCTGTAAATCATAGTATTTTTATGGAGGAAGTAATCTCCCCACAGGCACTGGTAAATGCCAAGCAAGTTTGTTAAATGGAGGATATATACAGTGTAGTTTAGCCCAAATATTTTCTCAGGTACTGTCATTTTGCCTTTATACAGAGAATCTTTCACTGGTAAAAATTTTTTAAGACAAAACCCATAAATTATCTATTTATGATTCTTTTCACTAAATATAGGTGTTAAAAAATTTTAAGACTTCTCAAATCAACTTCTTTTCATTCTGGTGCAGAATATACATTCATGCAATTAGAAACAGGAGCTCCATCAAAAAAATCTTTTTTCAAGTCAAGATATTTCCAAGAACAATTATAAAATTAACTTTTGTATAACATTTGAATTCTCATTATTTATTTTATTCTCTTTTGCTTTTGTGAGGGTACATTTCAGTGTTTTCCTTTTTATCATCTTTCAATGGCTGCAATTTACTAAAAGGTTGGAAAGCTGATTTTGGGGGTGTTTTATTGAATAATCAATTTAAGTTTTCAATTGATCTTGAATGTAATGCAACTAACATGTGGAAGATTCATTCATAAAAATATTCACAACCATTGTAAGAAACTTAGGTTGATGTACAAAGTAGTTCTTCAAAGGCTGAAATATAATCCCAACTCAGATTGATGAAGGGAAGGAAAGAGAGAAACTGTATTCCGTCATGCTGAAATTATTTTTATTTTCAACATCAGCCTCATCACAAAAACGTTCTAGCTTATTTACTCTAAACATGTGTGTGCATACCATATGTATAGAAACTTCAAAAACATTTGGAATTTTTATTTTCACTGCTAAAATATCGAGGCTTTATTGGGATGCAGTTTTAAGTTCCTTGTGCACCTGAATTCCAAATACATTTCTGCTTCTTATGTTTTCTAACTTAGTAAGAATACTTTGTTTTTGTTCTTTTTTAAATCCTATGTTGTGCTCCACCAAAATTTGTATTTGTGTTATTTCCACAAAATAAATAATTTTATCTTTAATATTTACTTTTTAATTGAATTGCCACCATATTTAAATTAATCCTAGAGTTTCATATTCGACAGAATGAATATTGAAAAGGTTTACGTTGATTCTATGAATTGAATTTAAAAATATTGGCTGGGCGTGGTGGCTCACACCTGTAATCCTAGCACTCTGGGGGACCGAGGCGGGTGGATTGCCTGAGGTCAGGAGTTCGAAACCAGCCTGAGCAAGAGCGAGACCCTGTCTCTACTAAAAAATAGAAAGAAATTAGGCAGACAACTAAAAATATACAAAAAAAATTAGCCAGGTATGGTAGTGCATGCCTGTAGTCCCAGCTACTCAGGAGGCTGAGGCAAAAGGATTGCTTGAGCCCAAGAGTTTGAGGTTGCTGTGAGCTAGGCTGATGCCATGGCACTCTAGCCTGGGCAAGAGAGCGAGACTCTGTCTTCCAAAAAAAAGGTAATAATAATAATAATATTTCATTGACAACTGAAAAATGTAGGACAAAGTATAGACTAGATAAGGTACCAGGGCAACTTGTTTAAGCAGGGGCTATTTCAACCAAGGTAGGATGATGTGGCTGCTGCAGTCAACGGCACTATAAATGAGCTGTGTTTTCTCTGCATATCAGAATCCTAGTGTGATGTAATTTTGCAAACCTCAAGAAATCAAATATCACATATAGGTAAAACAAATTATCAAGATTCTAGAACTAGACAAGACTACAAAAAAATTTGAACTATTAAGGAAGACTCATTGAAAAGTAGGTAATGAGGACACTGAAAACATTTCACAGCAATGAGGCTTTTTGACAACAGAAGCCTACGAATCTACAAGATGATGATGTTTTCATATTAAAAAGATAGTTTGTTGGCTGGGCATGGTGGCTTATGCCTATTATCCTATCATTTTCGGAGGCCGAGAAGGGAGGATGGTTTGAGGCCAAGAGTTCAAAACCAGCCTGAGCAATACAGTGAGACCCCCATCTCTGTAAAAACTAGAGAAACTAACTGGGCATGGTAACCCGTGCCTGTAGTTCCCACTACTCGGAAGGCTGAGGTGAGAGGATTGCTTGAGCCCAGGAGCTTGAGGCTGCAGTGAGCTGTGATTGGCCACTGCACTCCAGACTAGGTGACAGAGTAGGACCCCATTTCTAAAAATAAAATGCATGTAACAAATGTACCAACACTTTCAATATGCTAGAGTGGGATGATAGTTCAAGTAAAAGAGTAAATTAAAGTGTACATAGAGGGTAAGTTTACAGATTCTGAAATCCTTTTTCTTAATTACATAAAATGCTTTAAAAACGGTGAAAAAATTAAAAAAAAATAAAAGACCTAACAAAAGACTTGAAAACAACTCAGTAGAAAAGGACTTCAGATTTTAGTTATGTTTGCAGAAAGGCAGTCATATTCCACTGGTAAGAAAATAAAGCAACTACGCCTTTTAAAATTCACTTTCATGAAAAAGATAAGGGGAGAGAAGATGCTGAATTAAGTGATTTCTTCAGTGCAAATAAGAGGATGAATTTCAATGAAACATGAGAAGGAATAGAGGAGGCACAGACAGGTTTTCAAAGATTCTAGAAAGGAAGGTTAGAATGGAAACATCCCATGACAACTGTCGCTATAACAGCAAGAATTCTATACAAGGATCTTTAGCAGAAGAGATGGGCTGACCGAAGGGAGCAATGTGGGTTCTATAGGGGAGTGAAGTTAAATTCTGTGTACTTTGGTTATTAGAGCCTGGGAGTGTGAAAAATATTACCACAGTTAAGAGTTGGCATCAACTATCCAGAAAAGTTAGCTATGCGTGGAATCGCTGTCTATACTCGTTCTCGGAAACTGAGGTGTTACCATCAAAGATCCTGTGGGAAGAGCCCGCAAGCCAGGAAACCCCTTTGTCTGCAGTCCTTTCAAGCGTACTTCCTGTGCCAACTTCCATCAGCACAGCCAAGCAACTTCTTGGAAGAAATAATGTTACTTGTAACAGAATATCTTTGCAATTATTCACTCTAGTCATGGCCAATTCCTGACAAGAACTCTCACTGAACTGGAGGAATTACAGAGCTACTCTCGATTTATAGTAACATCTTACTGTATAGATTCAGATTTGTTTTCCA